CTGATATCAACACAGAAATTTGTGAATGCTGTTATCAACACCAAAACATTACTCAGAATTCTTACCACCACAATGCTAGGGCAATACTATTTCTATTTTTACTCTTCTAGGGAGATAAAGCTAAACATGCTACATGTCAGCAAAAAGGTCATGTGGACATACATTTTAATTATATTTGTGGTTATTTATCCTAGAAATGTTAATTTAATGGTAATAAATAATCAAACTTGTAGTTACCTTAATGCACACATTATAAATATGTATATAAATTATAACCAGTAAGGAAAGTAGTAAAGTCGGACGGGGCCGACTATATGATACCCTTCACCACTATGGGTATATTCAACAGATGGGATCCTAACGGACGTCGCATTTTTGAAGGACCATTAACATTAAAATAAACATTTCATTCCGCAACCTATACTAAATTTTGGTCAGATATAGAGTTGCTTCTTACAATGGGAAATTATGTAAATAAATTTAAAGCAAAATATCGAAATCTAAACCGATATCTTCATTTACTTATAAATCCAAATTTCATGAAAATCGAAGGATATATAGGGACTTTGGTGCAGTATTTACCAAAAATCGGACGAATATATATATGGGAGCTATATCGAAATCTAGAACCGATTTTCACGAAACTTAGCACACATCATTCTAGACTTAACTCAGTACGCTGTCCAAAATTTCATGCAAATCGAAAGGTATATAGGGACTTTGGTGCACCATTTACATAAAATCGGACAAAACTATATATGGGAGCTATATCCAAATCGAATTATATATAGGGACTTTGGTGCACCATTTACGTTAAATCGGACGAAATTATAAATGGGAGCTATATCTAAATCTGAACCAATTTTTGGGAAACTTGGCACACAGCATTCTGCACCTAATTCAGTACTCTATAGCAAATTTCGTGCAAATCGAAAGATATATAGAGACTTTGGGGCACCATTTACATGAAATCGGACGAAACTGTATATGGGAGCTATATCTAAATCTGGACCGATTTTTTCGAAACTTGGCAGACATCATTCTAGGCTCAATTCAGTACGTTATGCCAAATTTCGTGCAAATCGAAAGATATATAGGGACTTTGGGGCACCATTTACATGAAATCGGACGAAACTATATATTGGAGCTACAACTAAATCTGGACCAATTTTCATGAATATCTAAATCTGGACCGATTTTCTTGAAACTTGGCAGACATCATTCTAGGCTCAGTTCAGTACGTTAAGCCAAATTTCGAGCAAATCGAAAGATATATAGGGACTTTGGGGCACCATTTACATGAAATCGGACGAAACTATATATGTGGGCTACATCTAAATCTGGACTAATTTTCATGAAACTTGGCAGACATCATTCTAGACCTTAATGATTAGGCTGTACCAAATTTCGTGCAAATCGAAAGATATATAGGGACTTTGGGGCACCATTTACATGAAATCGGACGAAACTATATATGGGAGCTATATCTAAATCTGGACCAATTTTCTCGAAACTTGGCAGACATCATTCTAGGCTCAATTCAGTACGTTATGCCAAATTTCGTGCAAATCGAAAGATATATAGGGACTTTGGCACACCATTTACATGAAATCGGACGAAACTATATATGGGAGCTATATCTAAATCTGGACCGATTTTCTCGAAACTTGGCAGACATCATTCTAGACCTTAATGATTAGGCTGTACCAAATTTCGTGCAAATCGAAAGATATATAGGGACATTGGGGCACCATTTACATGAAATCGGACGAAACTATATATGGGAGCTATATCTAAATCTGGACCGATTTTCTCGAAACTTGGCAGACATCATTCTAGGCTTAATTCAGTACGTTGTGCCAAATTTCGTGCAAATCGAAAGATATATAGGGACTTTGGGGCACCATTTACATGAAATCGGACGAAACTATATATGGGAGCTATATCTAAATCTGAACCGATTTTCATGAAACTTGGCAGACATCATTCTAGACCTAAATGATTAGGCTGTACCAAATTTCGTGCAAATCGAAAGATATATAGGGACCGTTTACATTAAATCGGTAAAATATATATATGGCAGCTATATCTAAATCTGAACCGATTTTTCCCAATTTCAATAGGGTTCGTCCTTGGGCCGAATAAGTGACCTATGCCAAATTTCATCCAATTCGGATCATAAATGCGACCTATACTTTGTTTACAATTTAACATGGACAGACAGACAGACGGACGGACGGACATGCATAAATTGACTTAGAAAGTGATTCTATGCATATTCTCAAAAGGAACCATGTGTCTATCTCGTTTCCTTTTGCCTGTTACAAACATATGCACAAAGACGTAATACCCTGTACCACAGTGTTGTGAAGGGTATAATTAGTCATCATTAAATTTAAGTGATATAAATAGTGTGATACTGAACGCTCCGCACTATTCAAGTTCTTAAAAAAAATAATAAATTTTGTTTTATACAAAACCAGTGAAAATTAAATATAATTAAATATTATTTGTATTCCTTTATTCATCTTGTGTATCTTCTGAAAAAAATAAACAACAAAAGTACTTCAAAACTTACCACATTTTTATTGGCATTCTCCTGTTTTATTTTCTTTCTGTCTTTATTGCTACAACTTGCCACTGCTATTGTTGCTGTTGATATTGCATTTCATCTGCTGGGGGTTTCCATCATCGCTGTCTTCGTTGTTGCCGTTGTTGCTTTGCTCATTGCAGTGCCACTGCCGATGGCGTTCTTACCGACAATCCACATCTTGTGCTGTTATTTTATATGTCTCAACTATTCTTACGCGAATTAGTGAAGAGATATCGTCTAATACAAGTGGTGCCAATGGATATGTCAGGATATTATGGTAAGTTCGCATCTGCAATTTATCCATTATTCTTAATTGTTCGGTTCATTGGTCATAGACAACCGCTGCTGCTGCTGCTGCGTACACATCGACTCTAGCGCATTTCTCGTTTACACCCTGTTGTTTCCATTTGATACACAAACACACAATTTGTTAACAAGAAAAAACAGAAGAAGAAACAAATAGCAAGACAAATAATTCCACAGCTTGTGGAAATTGAGATAAATATTATTGCAAGGGAGAGCTAACAAATATTTGTTTTAGGTGTAGACAATAATTTATTTGAAGAGCTGCGGAACGGACGTTTGGAAAATATAATCTGGATATTATCCACCATAGTATGGAGGGTATATTAACTTTATTTTACCGTTTGTAACTCATCGAAATAGTCATATCCGATCCCATAACGTATATATATTCTTGATAAGCGTAAATGACGATTAAAACATTTCCGTCCGTCCGTCGGTCTGTTAATATCCAAAATGTTTTGTCTGCAGGCAGGCATATTCGTATGTTTGTAACATGCAAAAGGAAACGAGATGGAGCCATAGTTCCTTTAGAGAATATGCAAAGTATCACTTTCTGAGCCGACTTGTACATGTGTCCGTGAGGGTCGCATTTATAACCCGAGTTGGATGAATTTTGGTACAGCTCATTTACTTGGCCCAAGGACAAATCCTATTGAAATTGGTGAAAATCGGTTCAGATTTAGATAAAGCTCTCATATATATTTTCGTCCGATTCTTAGCAAAGGGACGAAACAAAAAGTCAAATTTAGGCCGATTGACACAAAACGCGTGCTAAATTTTGTTGAAATTGGTTTAGATATATCTCGCATATATTTTCGTCCGATTGACACGATATCACAACGTATCAAATTGAGAATAACGTTATAGCGTTTTGTTGTTGCAGATATAGACCTTAAATGTGCCCGAATGAAATGAAAATTAGCATAGGTTGCAGAATGGCATTTTTATACCCTTCACCACACTGTGGTACCGGGTATTATGGCTTTGTGCATATGTTTGTAACAGGCAAAACGAAACGAGATAGACACATGGTTCCTTTTGAGGATATGCATAGAATCACTTTTTAAGTCGATTTATGCATGTCCGTCCATCTGCCCATGTTAAATTGTAAACAAAGTACAGGTCGCATTTATAATACGAATTAGATGAAATTTGGCACTGGTCACTTATTCGGCCCAAGGACGAATCCTATTGAAATTGGGAAAAATCGGTTCAGATTTAGATATAGCTCCCATATATATTTTCGTCGGATTTATATATGCTTCGATTTGCACGAAATTTGGCACAGAGTACTGAATTAGGTGTAGAACGATGCAAAATTTCGTGAAAATCGGTTCAGATTTAGATATAGCTCCCATATATAGTTTCGTTCGATTTGAGATAAATTGTGCACCAAAGTCCCTATATATCCTTCGATTTGCACGAAATTTGGCATAGCGTACTGAAGTAACGCTAGAATGATGTGTATTAAGTTTCGTGAAAATCGGTTCAGATTTAGATATAGCTCCCATATATATTTTCGTCGGATTTAAGGTAAATAGTGCACCAAAGTTCTTATATATTCTTCGATTTGCACGAAATTTGGCACAGAGTACTGAATTAGGTCTAGAACGATGTGTGTAAAATCGGTTCAGATTTAGATAAAGCTCCCATATATAGCTTCGTCCGATTTGAGATAAATTGTGCACCAAAGTCCCTATATATCCTTCGATTTGCACGAAATTTGGCATAGAGTAGTGAAGTAACGCTAGAATGATGTGTATTAAGTTTCGTGAAAATCGGTTCAGATTTAGATATAGCTCCCATACATATTTTCGTCCGATTTAAGGTAAATAAAGCAGCAAAGTCCCTATATATGCTTCGATTTGCACGAAATTTGGCACAGCGTACTGAATTAAGTCTAGAACTATGTGTGTAAAATTTCGTGAAAATCGGTTCAGATTTAGATATAGCTCCCATATATATTTTCGTCCGATTTTAGGTAAATAGTGCACCAAAGGCCCTATATATCCTTCGATTTGCACGAAATTTGGCATAGCGTACTGAATTAAGTCTAGAACATGTGTATCAGTTCATCGGTTCAGATTTAGATATAGCTCCCAAATATATTCTCGTCCGATTGTAGGCAAACAGTGCACAAAAGTCCCTATATATCTCTCGATGTGCACGAAATTTGGCATAGCGTCCTGAATTGAGTCTAGAATGGTGTGTATTAAGTTTCGTGAAAATCGGTTCAAATGTAGATATAACTCCCATATATATTTTCGTCCGATTTTATGTAAATGCTGCACCAAAGTCCCTACATATTCTTGGATTTGCACCAAATTTGTCAAAGCGTACTGAATTGTGTTTTGAATGATGTGTGGTAAGATTAGGATCGGTTCAGATTTCTATATAGGTCTCACATATTTATATATTCGTCCGATTTTACATAAATGGCTCTCCACACTCCTAATGTTTGTCCGAATAACACGAAAACATTTATGATCTTCAGAATTATTCAAAGCACCTCGTTGTGTTTAAACACAATTGAAATTTCCACTACTTGGCAGCAGGGCAACCTTAAGTTACATTTCTAAATAAAATGTTCATAGTAGCTAATGGGTTTATGAATGGGTCATTATGATTCGATACCACTGAAAGGTCTAGTCCCTTTATATTATTTGATTTGATGTAAAGCATTATCCGTTGTTATTGTGGGTATGTCATTTCTGTGGTTAATTACTTAATTACACTAGTATCTATTTGTACAGTTGAATATACATTTGTTGAATTCATATATTAATGACATTATAGTGTGACTATATCATATGTATTTTTTTTGTTTCTTTTTTGTTTTCAGAAAATCGTGCAGGTCCCTCGAATATTGGCAATGTCATTAGCCAAATATTACTCTGCAAACAAATAACACCGGATTTCAATCAAGAAGAGCTGTGTAGTATTACAAAGGATTCACAGGATATCGCATTGTTACTATCGGAAATGCAAGAGTTCATGCCAAAACATGAAACATATCTGCGTAAGTACACAAAGCATTCATATACACGAACAAACAACCATTCATTTATTCATTCAGCACTAGCACGGCAAGGAAAGGCTTTTGTGGTTTTATCCTTTTCCATGGGTTTTTCATGTACATAAAATGATTATGATGATGAGATTTGCATGTGTGTGAGTGAGTTCGGTTGTTTGTTTGTGATAACATAAACATTAGTTTGCTTTTAATGTTTTTGGTAGTACAAGAACTTTTTCAATTTGAATAGATTAAGGCATTCATTTTTAAAATTTGTTAAATATTTGTCTGCTTTCTGTCAACTAGTTTAAATATTTATTAATGAAAGAGGGTAATGTGTATTTTACATTATGTAGCATAATTACAATTTAAAATATTTTTTTCAAAAATGAGATTTGAAACTAAAAACCATATGACCAGGGTTTTCTCCACAATTTAGCAAAATAGAAATATGATTGCTGTATTAATTTGCCTTTTTGGAAAATTTAATAAAATGATTTCACAAAATAACAAAGAAAGTGTCATGGTCAGGCGTTGTTGAATATAATACCCTACTCCATTTTGGATATATACAAAACCAGTAAAAAAAGTAAAAAAGCAGACGTAGAATGTTTGAAGGACCGTTGACATAAAACCGGTCGAAAATATATACCGGATAAATAACATACTTTAATTTACACAAAATTCAGACAGTTAGACGAACTTTGGGTCTGCAGTGTTCCGTTTACATAAAATCGGACAAAACTTTGAGTTTATGGTGCCCCATAAACGTCAAATCGTACGAAAGTATGCATGAGAGCTATATCTAAATTCAGACCGATTTGTACAAAGCTTCTCATACGCCAATCTGTACATTATTCAGTACGCTGTGGAATCATATGTGTCAATTGGACAAATAAGTGTTATTTGGGTAAACTATTGTGGAGTCGGGAACTACATATAAATCTGGAGCTATATCTAAATCTGAACCGATTTTCTAGGTTTCGTTATGCATATCCCGTATGTATATCCTTCTCCGTGTTTGAAACATTTACATAAAGACATAACACCTTGTACCACAGTATGGTGAAGGGTATCAAAACCAGCAGCTTGTAATAGAATATTCAAAATTATACATTTGTTGTAAATCTTTATGATTATTGCCACTATTTTACTTGTAACCTTTGGTAATTCTACTTAAATACATTTTCTCATATTTCCATTGTTTTATTTTCTCCGTTTCCCTTTTACAGAACGCCATACTGCACTGGATACCAATGGACCTTGGGCAAATAAAGGACGCCACAATCACATTTGCAAAAATATGAGTTTACTTTGTTGTGTCTCTCGACCAAATTATCTCTGAAAGTAATTTGTAAGCCATCATCAGGACCAGTAGCATCATCAGCACCACAATCAGCCACCATGACCATCATCATAGAGTTTTCAACCAACAAACCACCCACCCACATCCATACCAACAAACCAGAAAGGAAAGAAGTAAAGTCGGACTGGGCCGTCTATATGATACCCTTCACCATTTTGGGTATATATGTATCCGAAAAGACGTCGCAATTTTGAAGGAATTTTGACATGAAATTGAACGGACTTAAATATGTGATTTTTTAATCTTTCTGGAACCTATGCTAAATTTCATTTCATTTGGGCAAGTTTAGAGTCGTTTGTGCACAGTGCGACAGATTTGTGTAAATCGATTTAAAGCAAACTTGACACACGCTATTCGGTATGCTGCACTGTTTTAAATTTAATCTCAATAAATAAGTCGAAATATATATGGAAGCTACGAGATATCTATATCTGAACCGATTTGAAGCAAACTTGCCAGAGATTAATTTATACTAATTTCAATACGTTGTGGCAATCGGCTGTGGATCTTTAGTGCACAATTTACGTAAAATCGGACGAAAATATATATAGGAGGTATACACATCATTTCATACTAAATTCAATACGCTATGCCAAAATTCGTTCAAATGGAATGATTTTCAGGGACTTTGGTGCACCATTTACCTCAAATCGGACGAAACTATGTATGGAAGCTATATCTAAATCTGAACCGATTTTCACGAAACTTAGCACACATCATTCTAGACTTAATTTAGTACGCTATACCAAAATTCATGCCAATCAAAAGATTAGCAGGGACCATTTACCTTAAATCGGATGAAAATATATATGGGAGCTATATCTAAATCTGGACCGATTTTTCCCAATTTCAATAGGGTTCGTCCTTGGGCCAAACAAATGAGCTGTACCAAATTTCATCCAATTCGGATCATAAATGCGGCCTGTACTTTGTTTACAATTTAACATGTACAGACGGACGGACGGACATGCATAAATCGACTCAGAAAGTGATTCTAAAGGAACCGTGGGTCTATCTAGATTATTTTTGGCTGTTACAAACATATGCACAAAGACATAATACCCTGTCCCACAGTGTGGTGAAGGGTATAAAAAGGAACTAGAAACATAATATCAGAAATGCATAGTAAGGAAAAAAAGGTTAACTTAAAAAGACATTTTAAAGGAACAACAACAAACAAAACTGTTTACAATTTAACATGGACAGACGGACGAGTATATATTTAACAATTTATTAGAAAGGCAACAGTCGTTTCTAGAGATATACACACAGTCACATAGATATATATATATATATATATATATACGTATTTAGTTTCCTTTTTACAATTGTTACACATTTCCACCCTGAAGGTAATCAAAATATATACATTTATTTTTATTTTTCAAAAGTAATTAAGGAACAAACAAACAACCAAAAAATGCACCAATTAGAATTTTAGAAGAAAAAGACAAAAAACAAACATAGAACATAAAACAGTGGAAGAAAAGTAAAATGGAGGAACATGAAATCTTGAAATGTTAACAAACACATCAATTATTTTTTAGAGACTTAAGTATAGAATTTAGACATAAATTACACCATACATACACACATTTTTGTATTCAATATATATTTTTTTGTGAATACATTATATACACGAACATATATACACTCAATTAGTATATTTGAATGATAAACAATTTGGTAATTTAATAATTATGAAATTTGTTACTTTAGAATAAAAATTAAAATTTTTTTAATTGAAAAAGAAATAAAAATGGAAAAAAACATATTGATTTCGGAACAAAACTAACTGGAAGTAAATAATACACCACACAGTGTTGATAATTTTGATACAATAATATACCTTAATTAGTCACAGTTAGGCAATGTGAATTTGTATCGAAGCAATGTACCCTAAAACAAGTAAAAGTTTGGTCTGACGAGAGACCATAGCATCATCTGTTGGACAACACTGTCCTTCTCCGAATTTCAAAACTGATGTCATTTTTATATATTTTTTGCGGTACCAAGATATACAAAATATTTGAATACCTCGAAGCTGTAGTTCTCAATTGCCGAGATAGAGGCAACTCCACACGAGTTACGAGTTATTTATCCCATATTAGTTCGCTATTGGAAGGTATTTGGAGTATGGTGCCAGGGAAGTTAATGACCTGTACTTTCTAGGTAATAACCAAAAGGATACAGCTCTGACCGAACAAATTTATTGCACCAGGTTTTGCACGGTGAATGAGGATGCCACCACGAGAATTAAAGTAATTTCGCCTGACATCACAATTGTGGCATCGGATATGTTAAATGATCTCATCTGACAACCCATAATTTCCCTCGGTTCTAATCATGACATGTGTACTCCGTACATTTATGAATAATGGTAAAGCTGCTTGCCAAGGTTTTACATATTTAACCAATCACCGCTTCAAAGAGCTGTCCGTTGCCTCAAATCTTAGAGTAGCTCAGATTCTCGATTCAGATTCCATTTTTATCACTTTTCCAGAAAAATATCCAGTCGTCTTCGTACAAAAACTAATTTCTATTCCCAACAAGATTTTTAATAGATTCCCTGATTGTCTCTGTGTGATTTAATATGTTACGAATATCCATTTTCCATATATTATTTTGCATTAAGGGAACCCCCCCCCCCCCATTCACGATTTTTTATTTTTAAGATTTTAAATGGGCTGGTAAATGAATACCAATGCTTGTTAAGGTTTGTAACTTGGCAAATATATATTTGAAGATTTAAAAAGGAAGAAAAATAATTTACAAAAATTTGTTGTTGTTGTTTTGTTGTTGTTTTTGGGGTTCAAAGAAAAGTCCATATTTTCGATGGCGGGCATGATAACTCCTCACTGGAACATCGGAATCCGAAAATTCCAACTGTGTTAGAAAGAGGACATGTCTGGCTCTCGTATGAACTAGGATTATTGACTTCGCACAACAATTAACAAAATGGCGGAACTTTGAAAAATTTTTTATGGAAAATCGCCTATTTTTTACCACAAACTAAGTTAAAAAATAAGGAAGATCTTCACCGATTGGCTTTATCCTAGTTCATACGAGAGCTACACACTCCCAGAGAAACGTGTCAAAATTTGAAACCGATTGGATTATTAGTTTTTGAGTTATCGTGCCCGCCATTCGTTTTGAGAAAAACGCGTTTAAAGTTTGAGAAGTCCTTTAGCCGTCACTTGATGCTGCACAATAAATCGGCTATATCTTCAAGAGTTCTTGAGATTTTCACTTGAAATTTTGTAGGAACATTCTAGAATTGGAGTAGATTCGAATTAAATCAAAAAAAATTTTGACACTGAGAATGTTGCCAGGGTATTATAGCATTTGTAACGCCCAAGAGTTTGTAACGTCGCGAAATATTGGTCCTAGACCCACCTTTAACTATACCGATCGTCATATGGATGGCCAAAACAAAAGCTAAAGAAATGGGATGGAAATTTGTATGGGTAAAAAATGGAAATATATATGCCCGCAAAAATGAAAACTCCAGCTTTACGATTATACATAACTCTACAGATATTGAAAATATAACCTCAACAAATTAATTAAAAGTATTTGCCAAAACTGAAAAAATAAATCAATAAAAACTGCAATTTAAAAGTTATCAAAATTAATGCTATAAAAACTATATTCGATATCGAAAATAAACTGTATATACAGAATTATAATTTTATTTTTATTTTTTTTATTTTTTATACTATTTTAAATTCCAAAATAATAATGAATTTTACTGAAGAAATAGTTAATAGTGTAAACGACATAAGCATGGAATATTTGAATTATAATATGTCGATGATAAGTTTTAACATTAGATCTTTAAGAAAAAATTTTCTGACATTTATCGCAAGTATCGCAAAAGTTATGGATAAAATTCAATTAATAATACTCTGCGAAACAAATATATCTGATAGTGAAAGTCAATTTTTATCACATTGATGGTTTTAATGGAATCTTTTCTAACAGAGAAGGTCGTGGTGGTGGAATTGCGGTTTATCTCAGAAATAACATACAATACACGGAGATAAAAATTGATTTGAAGTCCGCAGAAACAATGAGATTAGATATCAAAACTTCAACCAACATTGAGTTCACGATAATACCAGTTTACCGCCCACCTTGTAAAAGCATAAAATTATTTTTGAAGGAAGTAGAAAATTTAATAAATTTATTAAGCCGAAATAATAAATTAGTATTAGCTGGTGACATGAATATTGACATCATGAAACGAAACCCTACAACAATAAACTACCTCAATCTCCTTTCATCTAACGGTCTACAATGCATGGTAACAAATGTAACTCGCGAAGACAACAATAACCAAACAAATACGTGTATAGATCACCTAATATGCAGATGGGATTCGAGAATACTAAAAGCTCACGCAGTAATAGTGAAAATCGAAATTTCAGATCACTTTTTAATTATCGGAAATATTCACGAAAACAAAACAACTGCAATGAAAACCCAAAACTCACAACACATAAACATAATAAATAACAGCAAGGTCAAGAACCAAGTAAACAATATAAATTGGGAAGAAATAATGTGTATATCTAATAATACTAATGAATTATACAATAATATATACAATAAATTCAATGAGATATATAATAATTCTACTATTAAAATATCTAAGTTTAAAAAGAGAAACGCGTATCCTTGGCTTAATGAGTATATACTTAAGTGCTGCAACATTAGGGACCAACTGTATAAGAAATGGTCTAGAAACAAAAATAATAAAATCAACGAGAAAATATACAAAAACTTTAATAACAAATTAAATAAAGACATATATAAAGCCAAAAATAATCATTTTTATAACCAGTTTTTGGAAAATAAAAACAACATTAGAGGTACTTGGCAACTTATTAATACTATTATGGGAAAAAAGTCGAACAATGTAGATTCAAATATAAAAATGAACTTTAAAAGTGAAAATTTGAAAGATATTACCGAAAACTTCGCCATAAGCTTC